AAACTTCTTTTTTATATATAAAATTTCTTTAAAAAAAATTGATTTTTTTTAAAGAAATTTTATATGTGAAAAAGAAGGTTTTTAAAGATTTCTCAAGAACTACCAAGCTGATTTTAACGTTCTTATTACCATTAGGCTACACCAAATTAATTCTTTGTTTAACATAACTTTATTAACCAGTGAGATAAGGGTGGGAAGAGTTAAAATAATAAACAAAACAGGTTTTGTATAAATAGAGTTTTTGAATCAATTATTCTTATCAATCGGATCAGGGTAGTATTTTTGAATTATCACGGGACAAGAAATATCGATAATAACGAATGATTGATAGCAAACCTACTTAAAGAACCTTTACTTCTACTATTGCTCTTGAAGTTTGGAACTCAATTGAGTTATCCTTTATTTAAGGTGAGCTCTAGGCTCTTATATATTTTTCATTTACAGACTAGAAATCGGCAAAAAAAGAATTTATCTAATTTTTCGATTTTTGTTGAATCAATTAATTCTTGTGAATCTTTTAGTTCTTGTAAATCTATTAATTTGCTGATTTTCTCCATTTTTTTAATAGTGCTAACTAAAAATAGAAAATAATAAACAGAAAAAAAAAAAAAAAATAGAAATTGTGTGCTGATCATCATACCGTTCATCATTGATCGCTTATAGTGATGCACCAATAGTCCAAGAATTGTGAAATCATTTTCAATGATTTTGTACTTAAATGAATGCTAACATTCATAGCATTCGTTTAAGGCTAAAATTATTGAAATATATTGGCTGTTCGTAAAATATCAGCATTAAACCAACAAAATACTTGCTTATTTGTACTGTCTTCTGACTCTAATTTCGAAATTTGCCACTAATGGTCATATTTCGAGAATGGCTAATCTATTTTTGATCATATTGAGTTTAAACTCTACAGTTTGTAGTATTCATTTAAGACAAAAATCATTAAAATTGGATCAACCATTCTCGAGTTGTAAAAGTTAAAATATGTACAACTATTTCTGGATCATTTTCGGGACTACTGTAAGTATTTAATTATTCTTTATAGGTTAATAGTTGTATGTTTACGAATTTGCAATGGCTCCCTTATATTTTAATTAGGTTATGGTATTTATAGTATAAACTTAATATCGATATAAAGCTGTAACTATACAAAGATCAAATTTTATACATTTCTTGCGATTTATCTTAATTGCAAAATGCTTAATGATATGCTATATTTATTAAATTCTCTGTCAATAACTTTTTATTTAAGAGATCATAACTACCATGATTATTTAATTTTAAACAACCAGTATTATCGTATAGCTTATGAAATATTTCATTCGTGGACTTATATCTACTGCCTCTAAGTAATTGCTTAAATTCATATTAAAATTTCTTAATTGTTAAAATTTAATCAATCTATAAAGAAATCCTTGCTGCTTGTAAAAAAGGATGGTGTGATTATAAAGAAAGAAAGCTATACTATTGCTTTTTTTATAGAAAATAAAAATTGAAATAATGGCATAACTAAATATTAATTTTGAAATTTAAAATTTTAATTTCAAAAGCTTTATAACATTACTTGTTTTATAATAAAATTTATCTTAGTGATCTTATTCATTAGAATAGTTTGCTACTTTATTGTTAGTTTTAATCGTCCCCTTTGTATAAAAATCTTTTTGGTTTTCCTGACAGTATTCACATAATGGATAAATTTGCCTGAACCATTCTTTCAATGACTGAGAAGGAGTTAACAAATCATCTCCACTTCTACAATAATAACAAATCAGATAATTTCCTACTTTATGACTTGAATAATACAATATTTCAATTGGTGAGTCACAATTAATCTGTGTATGTATAAATATTACTTTTTTCAAATAATGATCATCAGGAAAAATCAGTGCACCACAAGAATATGAATATGACTCTAATGCTTGTTGATAATCCTGTTGTTCATCATTAGTTAAAGACTTGTTACTGTATATATAACGACATTTTCGGCAATTTTTACAATCAATATAATCATAGATTTTTTCAGCAACTAGAACATATTTTGGAATAGACCCTGATTTCGCCTTTGACTAAATAAATGTTGGCCTAAATTCTTTTGTAGTTTTAGTACTATAAACTTGTTAAAAAGTTGCATAATAGTCTACATTGTCTAACCATAATTAAATTTCTTAATATATGTAAATATATATTTATTCTAGAGAATAACATAATTTATAGTACCTTTTGATGGAATTGGATCTGGAAGAAAGCTCAAATTACGAAATTCATACGATGGAAGACGAATTGGCTTGCAATATAAGCAGGAAGGATTATTGCACCTTTTTACCTTTAATATATAAATTTAATTAGTGTTTAAAATTTCTATATAATGATACAGGCTTAAAAGCTATATCGATATCTATTATTAATATATATCTGGAAACTATAAGTACGTATTTGCATGTTACATCAACTAAGTAAATTAAAATTAGATACATGCAATTATATTACATATGGAAAATGAA